GCGGGGCGGCGAGGCTGCGGTCTCTGGACTAGGCGAGGGGGCGCCGGGAGCTGGGGGTCCGGATCTTCAGTCGGAGCGCTGGGCACAGCAGAGAGAAGCGGTGAGACACCACGGAGCGTTGCCCAGCTGGGCGCCAGGGCCACCATGACCACCCCTTTTCCGGGACTCGGCGAGGAGACCTGCCTGCGGGAGGGACCCCGGGGAGCAGGGCGGCCGGTTCAGGCTGGGGGTGTGTGTGCGTGTGCGCGCGCGTGTGTGCATGTGTGCCTGCGAGGGGTGGTGGGCGTGTACGAGTGTGGGGGTATGGCGGTGTGTGGCATGTGTCTGTGTGTGTGAATGTGTGTAGGGGGTGTGCATCTCTCTGTACAGTACATGCCGTGTGTGTGTGTGTGTGTGTGTGTGTGTGTGTGTGAGAGAGAGACAGGGGAGGCCGGGAGGTCACAGAGCTTGGGTCTGAACCCATGCAGGAAGGAGAGGGGCTTGGCAGGACGGAGTGTGTGTGTGTGTGTGTGTGTGTGTGTGTGTGTGTGTGCAGGGGCAGGGGTGTGTGAAGGGTGAGTGTGTCACGGGCGCTAGGTGTGGCTATGTGTGTGATGTAAGGGTGCCGGGTGCACGTGTGTCCCTGGCTCACCCTCCCTTCCCCCACCAGATGTGTGCGCATGGAGGAGAGAGTTCTGGGGAGGGGGTAGGAGTCCGCCGCAGCTGCCTGCCATTCACCCAGCTTGCCTGCCTGGCCTTCTCCTCCAGGAAACCAGAGATCGCCAAGCTGCCCCTACCCCGAATACTTCTAGGGTCCTGGGGAAGGGAACAGGCCCAGACCCAGGAAAGGGGAGGGGCTGGAGGGAAGGTGCTTCTGCCAGATTGGGAACCTTGTTTCTCTGGCCAGAGGCTGGGCGGCCTTCGGACTGGGCCAGATCACTCAGCGCTGGCTTCACCCCTCCTGAGGCCCTGTGCCCCCTGGGGTCTGAGAGTGAGAGTGCCAGCACTTCTGGCTGGGGCGGGAGGTGGGGATTGGAATAGGCAAGACATCGGAGGGGCTTGCTTGTTCACAGTTATATGCCCAGAAGGGTGTTGGGCTCATGGTAAGCCTCCGTAAATACTTGAGGCTCAGCAGACGGAAGGAAGGGAGGAATCCACATCTGGAAGCCCAAGTCCATCCCTTTTACTACTGGTTAAAGATGAGGGTCCCTGGTTGCAGTCAGACCCCAGTTTCTGCATGAGCAGATGGGGGAGGAGGAACCCCCAGGCAGGGATTTGTGCTGGGGCCTGAAGGTACAGGAAGGGCCCAGCAAGAAGAGCCAGAGCCATGGGCAGGACACTTTGCATCCTACCGGCACTACCTGCTTCTCTGAGATCAGAAGCCTCTCTCTGGGGAACCCCATCCTGGGAAAGGGAAGAGGGTGGCCACAGCCAGGGCTCACAGGGCCTCTCCTCTCTCCAGGACCTTCCTGCTCAAAAGGTGCTGAAGAACTGAGTCCCTGCCCACCAAGGCCACCCAAAGCCAGGTGGGGCCATGGCCAGGCATGGCTGTCTAGGGCTGGGACTGTTCTGCTGCGTCCTGTTTGCTGCTACTGTGGGTCCCCAGCCCGCCTCCTCCGTCCCAGGTGCCCCTGTCACCACTTTGACCCCCCCACCTCAAAGTGAGGCCTCTATGCTGTCTCTCAACCTGGGACTTAACTTCAAATTCCATCTTCGGGGACCTGCTGCTGTCTGGGGGAGCCCTGTCACAGAGACCCAGCCACTCTCTCTTGGGCCAGGCCAGGAGCCAGCGGAAGAGGTGGCCAGTGGGCTGAGGACTGACCCCCTTTGGGAACTGCTGGTGGGCTCCCCGGGGAACTCTCTCACTGAATGGGGCTCCGCTGAAGGCGGCTCAAAGCCCCAGGCCTCCTCCCTGCTCCCGGAGTCCACATCCAGGCGCTCTGGGCCCAGCGACTGGACCACTGCCCCCTATCAGACCAGGAGGAACACTGTGACCTGGGACACTGCTCTGACTGCGACAGCACTTCCATCCAGTGTTCCCAAGCCCCACCAGAATGAGCTGGAGCTGAAGTTTGACATGGCCCTGAGAGCAGGTGCAGCCCCCACACTTGGGCATCGAACGCTGCCCCTGTTGCCCAGCCTGCGGGCCAGCCTGGCAGAGATTGCTGGGCGCCTGGGACCCTTTGGTGAGTAACCACCCCATCCCAAGGAAAGCCCCTGCTGGGCACCCCTGGCAGGTAGGAGGCAGCTTCAGCCTGGGCTTCTTTTGCAGGATTCTTTGGTACTACTCTGTCCCCACTCCGGAATTTCTCTGGCCTGAGCCCCCCAGGTGAAACTACATCCACAAGCTCTGCCTCTGGAGTTTCAGGTTCTCTGGGTGAGTTTATTTCATTGCAGTAAACAATCGTGGAACACCTCTACGTGCCAAGCACTGTGCTAGGGGCCTAACAAGTACCTTTCTTTTTTTACTTTCTTATATTGCTTCTTCCAGGCCCTAGGATATGGGCTACTACTTCCACAGAAGGAGTATTCTCTTTGCCATGCTGAATCTGGTTTGCTCTTTGTAGCTTAGCTCATGGTGTACATAAGCTTAGCATGTGGCTAAATTCCTGGGACAGTGACTTCCTTAGGATACACTCTGGGAAAGGACATAATTTTCTCCAAACTCCCAGAGGCAAGGCTGGTTGGTGGGGTGGCACTCAAGCCCCATGTGCTCCCTTTGCAGGGTTCCTTGGCACCACTCTGTCCCCGCCCCCATACTCCCTGGAGAGGAAGCTCTCCAGCCCAAGTCCTCTGGACCCAGCTGCTTCCCTAAGTTTTGCCTCGATTGCAACAACTTCATTAGGTAAGTATCCAATTCATTTGAACTTGACAATTATTTATTGAGCACTTACTACATGCTAGTCACTCATCAGTGTTCTGGAACCCTTTTATTTCATTGCCATCATAATCATAATCATCATTCTTTTCATCATCACCATGGAGATATATATGAATGGTCTGACAGCAAGTATTGCTGGAGAAAGTCCCACACAGAGTTAAGTAATGGTCCCCTGAGAGTTTTGCAATGAGAGGCACAGCAGGATGTAGACAGATGTATCAGGGACAGACACAGGAACTTCTTCATGATTTCCACAGCCCTGGCACTAACCCCATCCTCCACTCCAATCTGCCTGACCTGACTCCCCACCAACCTTGGGGCTCTTTCCTTTGCCATCTGATCTGACATGACATGCTGTCAGATATGGGCAGAGCTGGGTCTCTCATTGGGAAGACACTGAGGAGGAGACCTTGAGCAGGCAGATGCCACCTTCATTCAAGGGAGCCTTTCAGAACATGCACATAGACAAGCTGGTGGTACAGAGGAAAGACCACAGGCTCAGGAATCTTGAGACCTGGCTTTCCAATTTATTTATTTATTTATTTATTTATTTATTTATTTACTTACTTACTTACTTACTTACTTACTTACTAGCTAGTGACTTTGGGCACGTTATTTAACCTCTCTGAACCTAAATTTTCTCATAGACCCAGGGTTTAATAATAGTACTTGCTAGTTATTGCAAAGCTCTTAGCATGATGCTGAGAGGCTCATTAAATAGTAGCTATTAACCTTGCTTCTCTCCCCCACTGCATCCCAAATCCACTTCCAGCCAGACCTTACCTCTCAGAAACCTCAGCCTTGGCCCCAGGCAGTGGTGGGACAACACAACCCACACAGCAGAGGGCACAGGTGCTGGAGGAGAGGTTCTGGTGGATGAGGCAGGGAGTCATGCAGAGGGACTGAGGGGCTTTCAGGCCCAGCTTTGCTCTGCAAAAGGTTTACTGCGGCTGTGAAACTTCTCAGTCACCCCACACTAGGCTCAGCAGTGGAAACCACTGGTCTCCCCAGCTTCTTCCAGCTCCAGACTTAACCCATGACCTGGTTCTCTGGCTCACTCCAGCCACAGTCACTGCACTCCTTTGGATGGTGGGTGAGGGGCCTGCTATGCCCCTGTTCAGCCCAGCGTGCAGCAGGGGCAGGATGTGATTGGGGGTGGGGGGCAGGTTCTGTGCCTCAGGGGAAGGATGCTGGCTGGCAGTCTGTCGGCCTTGGTGACAGCGCTGGCCAGGCAGGTTTAATGAGTCTGGACAGTATCAGAAGCAGTGCAGCCGGGCAGGCTGGCGGCCCCACCTCATTCTCCCTCCTCCCTGGTAGCTGCAGGAACCCAGCCTCTGATACTGCACCTCTGAGTAAACCCAGGAGAGCTACAGGCCTCCTGGAGAGAATGCCAATGGGCCTTGCTCTGACCAACAGTGTGTGTGCGTGTGTGTGTGTGTGTAGTTGTATCAAGCAGTTACCATACAAAGGGAGTCTCTCTGTGTTGCCTCTAGAATCTTTCTAACCTAGGTGCAACTAACCTTTGACTCCTAGGCCCTCCTTGCATTAGGTCCCCTTCACCTTGGACAGAGCCTGTATTCAGCCTATACACACCAGAACAGTTATCCAGTTAATCAGTGTGCGACTTTCATACTGGTGTTCAGTGCCCACCTCCCTTAGTCCACAGAGGGTTCCCCTCCACTCCCTGACCACTCTGGCTCATGTCAGTTCTGATTGGCTGGCACCCATGCCAACTCAGTTGCTAAATATTTTGAGTGCCACCCCTACAAAGTGTAACCACTCTCCATGATCCTGGAGGTGGGGGTGGGGAGAGGGATGGGGCCAGGCCACTAAATGGGCTGTAGCTTCCAGCATCCAGAGTGGAGACATGATTCCCAGCCCTTTGATCTGGGCAGCTGGTGGATAATCAGGCCTGACTTTTCCATGAATCAAACTGTTCCCTCCCACAATTCCTCCCCAGCCAGCTCCTGCCTCACCAGTTATTCACACTGATATCTCCTCTCCTCCCTCATCACTGAGGTCAAGAGGGCCCACAGGGCCAGAATGGGACCTCCCAGTAGAGGAGGCTTGCTCAGGAGAGGGACCCTGGGAAGGGAAGACCAGAGATGACTATCTTCTGGACTCTTTTGGGGAAAACTGAAGGCTGTTTCTGGAGAAGCCTCCAATGGGGAGATGAGAGATGAGGTCAAGTGGACCCTACAAAGGCAGAAGCCAGGTTTTTTTTCCACCCGTCTCCATTCACACCTGGACCAGTGTGGGGCATGCAGAGCATGCTCTGACCCCTGGGATCAGTGTTCCTACTTCAGAACTCCTTTTATGACCCTTGAGCCATCCCTGTACTTTGACTATTATCTGGTTTTTATTCCTTTTCTGGATTTATTTTATTTTATTTTTATTTTTTATTTATTTTTATTTTTTATTTTTTTTGAGATGGAGTCTTGCTCTGTCGCCTAGGCTGGAGTGCAGTGGTGTGATCTCGGCTCACTGCAACCTCCGGGTTCAAACGATTCTCCTGCCTCAGCCTCCTGAGTATCTGGGATTACAGGTGCGCACCACCATGCCCGGCTAATTTTTGTATTTTTAGTAGACACGGGGTTTCACCATGTTGGCCAGGCTGATCTCGAACTCCTGACCTTGCGATCTGCCCGCGTCGACCTCCCAAAGTGCTAGGATTACAGGCGTGAGCCACCATGCCCAGCCTGGATTCTTATGAATGTTGAAATTTGCTGTAGTTGCCATAGAGCTTAGGTATAGAGATGAGAAATAAGATTTCTTGTGGCCCATGGGTGAGAAGTAAAGATGGAAGAGGGTGAATTGGAGCCAACCTCTGACAGCTGCACTTATCTGTACAGTGAACAAAGAGGGTGTGGTGAGGGGGTGACAGGCTGGAGCAGACTGTGGGCTCCCAGGTCATGTTTTCCTGCCCCTCTGCAGAGCCCACAGAGGCCAAAGAGAGATGGAGCAAACCTAATCACTTTGCAGAGGAAGAGGGTTGGGCAAGAGCATCTGAAGGGACCAAAGAATGAGGGGTGAGGTGGTGTGTGCATTTGATCCTGCCATTGCCAGACCTATGCCACCTGATCAGCAAGCTCTCCATTCCCAGCTAAGTAGTTTCTCATTTAATTGATGACTGGTGTCTTTATTAGTGTTAAGGGGTGAGTAGGCCATCAGAAAGGTATTATTTGGCTGGGCATGATGGCTCACGCCTGTAATCCCAGCACTTTGGGAGGCCAAGGCAGGTGGATCACAAAGTCAGGAGTTTGAGACCAGCCTGGCCAATATGGTGAAACTCCGTCTCTACTAAAAATACAAAAATTAGCTAGGCACGGTGGCACGCACCTGTGATCCCAGCTACTTGGGAGGCTGAGACAGGAGAATCGCTTGAACCCGGGAGGTGGAGGTTGCAGTCAGCCGAGATCATGCCACTGCACTCCAGCTTGGGTGATGAAGCAAGACCGTTTCTCAAAAACAAACAAACAAACAAACAAACAAACAAAACAAAGGTATTATTTAAACAGAGTTCATAAAGTGAGACAATGTGTTGATGTTCACTATTTGACTAATTGTTGTCTTTCTAAGCAAGTTTAGGACTTTGAAAGGCTTTGAAAACAGACTGCAGCCATTAGTTGAATTAAGAACCTGTTTGAGACCAGAGGTAGTCACAGTGACATATACACAAACAGATGATGGATCAGTGATGAACATTAGCTGATGATCATGATAACGACACAATCTTGATTGAGGGATCATGATGCACCAGGTTCTCTGAGAGTTTTACACACATTGTCTCATTTTTCTCACAACAGTCCTATGCAGTAGGTACTCTTACTCATTTCAGATTTGAGGACATGATGGACTGGGAACCAGGGTGCATGCTGCCACTTGCGGTTGGCAGTGAGCTGTGTATATTTAATGTTTTGGCTGCTTCCTTTCTGCCCTCCCCAGTTTCCAATTGCATCATCCCTTTCCTTCTCTCAGAGCCACCTCTCAGCCCCCTCACTCCTTCCTTTTACTTGTTCTCAGAACTCTTGTGTTTTTTGTTTATCTTTTATATATTTATTATTTTAAGAACTGGTGTGTGTGTGTGTGTGTGTGTGTGTTTTGTTTTTGGTTTTGGTTTTTTGGGTTTTTTTTTTTTTTGAGCCAGAGTCTCACTCTGTCACGTAGGATGGAGTGCAGAGGCACGATCTCCACTCACTGCAACCTCCACCTCCCCGGTTCAAGCGATTCTCCTGCCTCAGCCTCCAGAGTAGCTGGGATTACAGACGCATGCCACCACGCCTGGCTAATTTTTGTATTTTAAGTAAAGACGGGGTTTTGCCCTGTTGACCAGGCTGGTCTCAAACTCCTGACCTCAGGTGATCTGCCTACCATGACCTCCCAAAATGCTGGGATTACAGGCATGAGCCACCACGCCCGGCCTAGAACTGTTATGTTTTGAGTGTCCCCTGCATGGGTTGGCCCTGCCTGTGGCTGGGGGTGCTCCTGGGGTCTTCCTGTGTTGTCCAGTTGGGCCATGGCCAAGGCAGGGCCAGGCAGTTGGGTGATTGTCAGACACCCTGCCCTCACATTCTACATCTGTCTTTTGTCCCCCTACCCATCCCTGCCAGGCTGTCCACATCCTTCACCACCACCCTTTCTTCTTCCACCCTTGCCTGTGGCTGCGGTCCTGCTGAATCTGTAGGTGAGGGCAGGTAGAGGTTCAGATTCCAGCATCTTCCCTTGCTGCCTGGCCCTGGGGAGAATCCTTGAGTCTAACTCTACCCAACTCCTCTCTTGCTCCAGAAGAGTAGAATTAAGGATCTTACTCCTTACCCTCTCTTAGTTGACTTCCCTTTTTCCAAGGGATATGGGAAGGCATTAGAGCACAGGATGGGGCTAGGGACCCAAGATAGGAAACCCCAGAGCAACTGAGGGGCTCACTTACTCAGATGGCATTTTATCCCACTGTGATGTCCCCAAGAGTTCCTCCCTGGGAGTTCCTAAGGGCACCTTTTGAGACCTGGGGGAGTCCATCTCAATGTCACCTTCTGTACAGTGTGGGGAGAAGCATGGAGGCATCTATATTAAGAAACTTAGACCAGTGGCTCTGTGGATGAGGCAGGATACGGGTCACAGCCATGGATAGGCTAAGGCTTGGGGTGTAGCAGGCAGGAAGGCCAATGAATAAGGAGAAATGATGTTTTCCTCAGAGTGCTGAGACAGCAGTATCTTACCTCTCCCCTGCTGAATGTGTGTGTGTGCGTGCACGTGTGTGTGTGTATGCACATATGTGGGCTTTTCCTTGAGATGGAGACAAGATGGGGGAGTAGTTGAAAAAGGGCAGGGGAAGCTCCTCTTAGCACTAAGTTGGGGGTTGGGAGTCAGGGGTGCAGAACAAGAGATAAGCACACTAATGTTAGAAAGAGGCTTTGGAATCACAGAAAGGGGCTCAGACTGATGTTCAGACCTGGGTTCTAGGTGCAGCTCTGCCCATTTGTGACCTTAGGCAGATCACTTTGACTCTCAGAAGAGCTTCAGTATCTTCATCTGGCAAGTACAGGGATTCATTTAGTCAATGAATATCTGCTAAATTCCAACTGTGTGACAGAAACTAATTTAAGTATGGAGATTCAGATGTGAGCAAAGAAACAAAAATCCCTGTTCTCATGAAACTTCCTTGGAGAGGGTGTGTAAGGTTCCTTGTAGTTGTAAAGTTCTGTGACTTCAAAGAAAAACTCTTTAGTAGAATCACAAACGAGTCAAGCAGGGAGCTGGGGGTGGAGGCAGAGGGGGAGAAGCAGGAGGAGGAAGAGGGGAAGGATGACAGCTGAAACTCCAGCAAAGACATTGAATAGGGGAACGGTGGAGGGAAAGGTGAGAGGCCAAGAGGTGGGGTGAGTCTCATATGTAAGACAAGTGTGTCCTGAATATGTTAGGGGACTCTGACTGGCATTCAGGCTACTACCTGCGGGGTGGGCAGGGGCAGGGCTGCATGATTGCCTCAGTCAAACCTTCTTTGCCCACAGACCCCACAGTCCCCACCTCTGGCCCAGATGACCTCTCTTCTTCTGCCAGCCTCGGGAACCCTTCGGAGCAGCCAGAGTGTGGGCCAGGGCCCTGCAGCGCGGGAGAATTGCCTGAACGCGAGGGGCAGCCTCCCGAGGCCCCGAGGCCCCTCTTTTTCCTGACCCTGGATGCCAATTGGGCAGAGGCCAGGGCT